CCCTCCCTCCCACAGGAGAGGACAGGCTCTTACCTTCACAAAAGCCCTTCCTGTCGATTTGAGCGCTGACCGACACGCGTCCATCAGGAATGAACATACAGGACACCTTCTTCTCCTTCTTGGCAGCAACTGGGGACTGCAGAGAAACGAGATTGTTACCCGGGTGAAACCTGCCGGCTGCTCCCATCCCGCTCCTCCTTCCTTCCTTCCTCGTTCTGCAACGCGAGCTTCAAGCTCCCCTTGAGGCTCGAGTGTCTCGCAGCGGAGTGAAAGCAGAACAAGCGCCTCGCTTTACCGGTCTCGGTGTAAACTTCTACGAGTAACTAGGACTTCTTAAGAACTAAGCATTTAATCCACGCTCAGCGATAAAGCCTATTAGGGGCGTCTCAGTGACAGAGGTTGGACTGACCCTACCCCCAAGGGTTTTTCTCTCTCGTGACGCCTGTTGACACCCAAAGCTCTCGCAGTAAAGTGGCGCTTACCAGCAATTCTGGAGTGTTCACATCAACAGGATCCATAACCTCGAAGCGCTTCTTTATCTCCTGAGTGGGGAAGGACGGGCGCTCCAGGAAGGCCTTCACCCAATAATCCACACAGCCGTACTTTCCCTTGAAGGTGGTACCCAGAGGCCTGGGGAAAGAGACGCTTGTTAGACACAACTGAGGCACCAGGAGAATTTCCCACAGCAATCCAATTCAATTTGCTTTTACGAGGCAGCGTTCCTCTCACACTCACCCCTGGGGAAGCTCGAATCCGAATTTGTACTCGTATTTGTTCCCGGGTCGCAGGATTACAGAGCCGTCCCCATCTGGGAAAAGAAAAGGGGAAGGGAAACGTCAGCTGCATCTCCAGGGGTTTGTTCTTAAACATTATCCTCTGTTCTGCTTGCACAGGCAGCGATCAAGGCAAGCGCTGCGCAGGCTTGAGCTGCGTTAGCTGTTTGGGAAGAGCCGCCTACACCTGTCCCCCAAGAGCAGTCCGAGAACCCGGCGCCTTCTCAAAGCAGGGAAGTGCCGCTCGTTTACTCTCACTTCTCCTTTCAACACCCCCATCCGAAGGCAGAACACTGTGTCCCGCCGCGCTTCGGTCCCCATTACCTCTCCTCACCACACCCTACTTCCACTTTGTGGGAGTTATCGAGCACCCGCTTCTTTCCCCAGCTATCTCTCCATCTCCAAGACTTCACGTCACCCCGGTTATCTCCCAGGACGCTTTGCCAAGTCCCTATCTCTCGCCTTCCCTGGAGCCAGCCTAACGAGGCGGCTGCTGAAGGGAGTTCTCCGTGCCCAGGAGACTCCTTGCCTCGGGTGAGATCTGCGCT